TCACCCTTCTCTATCACCCCTTTGGAGATCATAAACCACGGGCAGAAGGGTGGCCACTCCTGAGGGAGGATGCACCACCACAGGACCAGGGAAAGGTCATTTCCCTTCCCAGGCCTCCGCTAAAGTCCTAAGACAGCAGACATCTTCCTTTCTCAGCAGGACAGCTCGCAGGTGCGGACAACAGATGCTTCTGACTGTGCCAGCGGCACCCACGGTGTGGGTGGAGCACGTGGTCTGCCTCCCTCTGACCTACAGGGCAGCCGTGGGCAGTCCCATGACTAGCAGGACTGGGTGGGGCCATGCAGATGTACTCATCAATCAGCCCCGTGGGTCCCAGGCTGGCTTAGAGTGTGACAGACAGAACGGCCAAGGCCAACCCTAGCTGAGCCCCCAGCTGAATGTCAGGACCCAGATGTCTACTGTCCTGAAGGGGCTGCAGCAGGGAGCTGGCAGGGGATAGCAGACAGACAGACAGACACACACACAAACACACTGACAAACACACTGACAGCCCACCTAGGATAGTTCTAGGAAGGGCCCAAGTCCCAGACAACACAGGCATGCAGGCCCCTGTTCTAGCTATCCTTAATGCTGTGTGACCTAAGGCAGGTGGCTGAGCCCCTCTGAACCTTAATTTTTTTTTTTTTTTTTAGCAGGATGGATGTGTTTGCTTGAATGGCGGGTGGCACTCAAGTTAAGGGCGGATAAATCCCCAGAAAGGTTCAAAGCACACAGACCGGGCCCCAGAATGTAGCTCAGCTGGCAGAGGCCTGGCCTGGCATCGAAGAGGCCCTAGGACCCACACACGGAGCATGGTGGCGCACACCCGTACTCTCGGACTCGGAGGCAGACAGGAGAAATAGTGTACGAGGTTATCCTCGGCTACAGAGAGTGTTTTAAGCCAGCCTGGGCTGCGTGAAATAAAAGTAGAAATCCCTAAAAAATGGAGATATGTGAATCCAGGTGTGTGAGCGACAGCATGGAGTTATGGACAGACTCACGGACAACATTCACCAGACAGACAGACATTCACCAGACAGACTCACAGCCGACATTCACCAGACAGACAGACAGACAGCATTCACCAGACAAACGGACATTTACCAGACAGACAACACTTACCAGACAGACTAACAGACAAACATTCACCAAACAGACCACCAGACAGACAGACAGACAACATTCACCAGACAGACTAACAGACAACATTCACCAGACAGACAACATTCACTAGACAGACAGACAACATTCACCAGACAGACA